ACAAACTCAAATCCTTTATATGCAATAAAGGATTCAATGATATAAATACTATCTCAAGCACGGATTTTGGGCTAAATTATTGAAATTTACATATTAAGAGTACTATTTTGAAAATCAAATCAGATCAATTGATTAAACTAGTCAAACCGATATTTAGTAATAAAAACGAATCAAGTTAATTAGTATTTAAAACCGTGTAGGTGTTAAATCGGTTAAATCATTTAAAACCATCCAAACCGATAAGAACAATATACCATCTTTGAACAAAATTTGCAAGGTTTGTTGCTGCCACTAGGTTTCGAACATGAGACGTCATAAAGTTTTGACAACTCCTTTACCACCAGATCCCTTATGAAGTGAGTTACAAAGATCACATTTTAAATAATAGTGCAAAGAATGAAGGAAAAACTCACTTACTTCCATGAAGGTCGAACACCTGCTCTTGGATGCTTAGAATAACTTCTGCCACCTTATCTGAGTCAAGCTTACTAACTTTTATTGCCTTGAGATATATTTATTATAACAAAATTACATAAATAATAAATTTGACAAATTTGAGATTCAAACTCTAATTCTCATCTATATGAAATAAGTAAGAAGTCAACCACTAGAGCAACTTTTGGCTTTTTGAAATGAATTGCATTATATTATACTTAATATGTATTTTCAAAATTCAATCAATTTAATTTTTTAATTGGTTAAACTAATTCAATCACTAACACCATGATCCAAAGGTCAAAACGGTTTCACCTCCACTTCGTTATTGAAAATGATGCTTAAGAGCCACTTGATTTGGGGGACAAAAAAGGTTCAGATAACAAATAGACAATAAAGAGAAAAGGAACATGCAGAAGAGAATGAAAATCCTTTGTACTAATTATTTTTGTACATTGTGAGTCAGTTGCTTAGCATTGTGGATATTTGTAACTCCAAGCAAGATGCAACCTCGTAAGTTTAGAAACAGGTTTTGGTCACTGATGTGAACCTTCAAGCTGTTCTTCACGCGTTCCTTCACTTCCTGAGGGATGATAGATAACCA